TTGCGCAGAAGTGAGTAGATGGCTTGTGGATTGTGCTGAACATCAATTCCACAGCTACGTATTCCACACTTCACAACATCCCTGGCTCTGCCTCTAAGATGGATGAGGATTTCCTCAGCCTGGTGTTCTTGCTGTACACCACTCTTTTTTATGTAATTTCTCATTGAGTCCTCCCATTCATCAACTGTAACTGAATCAGAACTCTCCCTTTAAAAATAGGTGGTTCTCTAACCTGGCTTCTGGAGACGAGCTGGACCTGAGAAAGATCTAATGAGCTGCATGGGACTTGATGGCTCTCATTTTGAGTTTTCTTTGTTGCAGTTCCACTTGGGTTACTTGAGTTCAGATGTGCCATGACACTATCAGCCAGCTGTTGCCCAATTTGTTGAACAATAGTGCTCATCTGATCAACCAGCCCAGCATTATTAAAATGAGAATCTGGAATAGATGTGCTAGAACACTGAGGAGGCTGAACATTAGGACAGGTCTGACTACTGGGCGTAACAGCTTCTCTAGTCACAAATGAGTCATTTACACCAGGTACAACAAGTAATGCTCCACCCAATACTTCGTCACCCATTGAAAATGGAACAGGGGTGTTAAAGAACCCTCTACCTCTGCCCATGCAGGGTGGAGTCATGTTTGATTGTCCAAAATTACTGAAATTCATTTTGACAATAGTCCAAGAGCACTCAAAAGAAATATCCTTTCACAAGGATTTATGGACACATACAGAAGCACTACTTAGACTAGTGTTGAAAACCCAAATGGTACAGTGGAGCTCCAGCGACGTGAGGATCAGAAGTCACAAGCCCGGTCCGATGTAGTTCTGAACGGGTCACGGCACCAATGTGACTTCCTCCCCAATACACAGCACACAGTGGAGACCAGTTGGGTAAATTTCTGTAATGAGTGTCAACAATAACAAAAACACAGTAAGCCTCTCTACTGGTTCGCCAACTCTGGGTACACAGTGGAGTTCCTGACAGACTGTGTGGAATCTGCAGTTCTTCCTCCTTTTATAGGCAACCAGTAGGGGGCGCCAAAAAAAAAAACACTCATCACAGGACAACCATAAAACCCATACTAGCAGAATTTAAACTGAACCATTTCAACTATGTTACACCAGCATGAAGGGGGAGAAGGTCAAAGGTCACAGCCACAGCATGTTTGTGTTGTAGAGACAATAGTAAAACCTAAACTTTACCCATCCCGATGAGAACGATGGTATGTTTTGTATTTTCCTGATATTTTGATAATTTATGTTTAGTGATCAACTCCAAGTCCATGAGGACTGAAGGACTCTTTACCATCACCCTAATCTCAGATTGACATTAGAGGAAATGTGTAAAAGGTCACTTTAAACCTAAATCTGCCAGTATGAATAATTTGGGCTTTACTGTGCAGACTTCTGGAGGAAGAGGAAATGCCGAGCAGGAAACACCGCCCCCTGGTGGATAATAAGGGACGTTACGTCAAAGTAAAATATAAAGTGTTGTTTTTATCAAATGATTAATAAACATCATGTTTTTCTGTTGGATTAACATGCCTGCAATACTTTACAATTAAATGTTCTTATACCTTGTTGGATCATTTAAAATTTAGAATGAATGGGAATCAAAATTTAGTAAAATCTTCTAAATATTGTTCTGATAATTAAAGTTGTAAATTCAACGTGCCATGCAGATGATAGCTTAACTTTGTAAATATTGAAAACATTGCAGTAGAAATACTTTGAGGGTTTAGCACTTCTCAATACTCAATATACATAAAACGATCAGATTTTATTTTCTACACTTGTTTAGTTTTCAACTGGAATTACATCATGTAGCTGAATGTTATGATTCCTGCACCATGATCAATGACTGAAGGTGTGCTGCCACCTAGTGGACAAAAGAGGAACTGAACATAACTCAGTGTTGTGAATGAAAGCTGAGCTGAACTACATGGTTTGTTATTGGAGTTTATTACAAGTAAACATGAGAATTTCTTCTGCTATTTTAATTACATTGATTTATGTCAGTAATTTGACACAAACAGAGAAACTCACGTTTCAAAAAAACTTTTGTCAGCAGTCATGTAACATCATTTTCTGAAAAGCAGCTTCAACATTATCAAAAATACACAAATGGTTCAAATTACTCTATTTAGAAATTCAATGGTATTTTTGGAGAAAACGTTGATTTCATTCTCTCAATTAAATTCAGTTTATTCACAAAATGCCAGTTCATAACAACATAGTTTCAGGGACTTTACAAAAAAAGTGAATTCAAACTAATTATCCAGATTACATGGATTCCAACCCAATTCTAGTTATAAAGCAGTGTAGTTGAGTTCAGTTTATTTAAATTAGTTTAAAAACTTTTAGTTTTTACCTCGCCAAGCAGATTGCATTGACTTGTTGATTTACAGCATTTGCTCCTCCTGACAGTAAATCTGATACTGAGTTGTTAACTTTACAAGAATCTCTCCTACTAAACATTCAAATAGAAAAACAAAACAAAAAACTGTGATTTCACAAGAAGAAACCTCCAGCAGAAGCAGAGCCAGACAAAGCTCTGTGTGGAGGTGATCATTATGTCAGTGGCTCTTCTGTTTGCTGCCATTACCATTTATCTTTCCCAACAGAAATCAACATTCACACAAACTTTAAAAATCCTTATTGTGAAACCTTGCAAAAAACAAACAATAAAAATAATGCAATGAGAAAAAAATCTCTGCACAAAAAAAGGACAGATTTTTCCTTGAAGTCAGCAAAATAAAATAAAATAAAAATCTAAATTTCTACCCAAAGTGAAAAGCAGTTACACAGAATCATTAACAGCCCAAAGACACACAGCAGACGCCCGTCTGATCACGGTTCAGTGTTCACAGATTCACCAATTTGCTGATTTTTATGGGGAACATAACTGCAAAGTATTTAAAGAAAATCAAAAATATTTGTTAAAACATGCACTTTAGAAATCTGAAATATTTTGCTGTAATTCCACTTGAAACATTTGATACACGATTGGCTGATATTTGCAAAGCAACCAATCCAGCAGCACCTTTCATTTTCCCTGGCACTGATTGGCTGAACCCAGAGGAACGATGAAAAGGAAGACTGTGGATAACGCCAAAACTGTTCCCACTGGATGTATTAATGAATATTAAGGGATATTTAGTGTTTGAACTGTAAAAATTGAGTTTTTGGGTGGGATCTTAGATATTCAGGTTTTTATGTTTGTTAGCAGTTGTGGTCCCTCATCCCAGCAAATATTGGTGGAAACCAGTTAAAATGTCAAAGTAAAACAACTTGTTTGGATTCTCAGCAATACCCACAAAATAAAATACAATTATTATCAAAGCTATTTAAAAAAGCAAAAATTAATGAAACAGAAAACATCCCAGCCAGTGTTGGTCGCTGGCTGATTGTTTTTAGATTTGCTGTGAAGGCATCAGATTTCTAATGACCCAAAACTTCCTTCTCTACTTTAGCTATGATCTCTGCCTTTCCCTTCATCTTCATCAGAGCCTGAACTCTCTCCTTCCAGCCTGGCTTGGCCTCCTGTTCCTCTCCTTTAATGAGCATGTCAATGTACTCTGGAGTGGTGAGGGGATTTGGGTTCAGGACTATCTCTTTCATTCTGTTCAGACACTTTGCAGCCTGTGCAATCAGTTTCACCACATCAACCTGCATAGATCGATACTCCGACATCAGATTCCTCATCAGCTCCTCTAAGGTTAACTTCTGTCCAAAGGCTTTCTCGTATTTTTCTTTCAGCTCTTTCACTGTTCTCGTCTCATGAATTTCCTGATATTCCCACCTGAAGCTCTGGTTGGAATGCACATTCCAGAAACATTTCCTGGACACCTTGTACAGTATCCATCTTTGTTCATTGCAGAACATCCTTTCTTACCATCGTCATTCGGTATCCCACAAGGGTAGTGACAGGTAACACAGCACTGCATGCAGTTGGTAATATATTGCCTAGTGTGAGAAATGTCAATTTGTCTGTTCTTTCTCCCAATGATGTGAAACACAAAGTTCTCATTGTTTCTGATCTCTGCTTCATGCTCTTTGAGTTTGTCATTTGTCTCCCTGATATCCTCTAACTTGGCTAGGCCAAGTTTAACCTGCTTCTGCAGCTCCTCCACTGTACTTTCCAGGTGCTTTCTTTCTTTCAGGACCTCGTTGGTCATTGTCAATCTTATGGTTTTGATGTTAGCTAGACTAGCAAAGAAACCAGCCATGTTCTGTGTTCCCATGTTCCAATACTCAAAGGTTTTGTCTTTATAGGGCCAAATCAAGCGTCTTAATAACCAGGATTTGTTGTTAGCAAACAGCACTGAGTTATTGAATTTGAAGTGAACCGGCAGCCCGTCTGCACCTTTAGGACATGGGACACCGGACACTTTAATGGCCTCCATAACTGGTTGCTGCTGCTCATCTGCAAACGTCACCAGGATCCTGATGTTTTCTGCCACATCTTTGCCAAAGATTGAGAGTGCTGAATCAAACACATATCTTTGTGTTGCTGTCAGTTCAGTTAGACCTGCCTGAACTACGAAACACACAGTATCAATTTCACCAACACCTTCTTGGTTAGCAAAGAGGTTTCGCAGCTGCTCTGTGATCTCCTTGTCTCTGTCTACGCTGCCGATTCCCCCAAAGCCTGGAGTGTCTATGATGGTGAGGGAGTAGTTCACCCTGAATCCCTCCTGGTGGTAAAGTTTGTACACCGTGATTCCTGATGTCTGACTGTGAACCTGTGAGTCTGACTGACCTTCATCCACTAACTTAAACCGAAACGAGTCTTCCCATCTAACGCCTAGAACGTAGTTTATCATCGCATTGATGACAGTGGACTTTCCAGCACCTGCAGCTCCAAGAACCATGATGTTTCTGTTACAATTTATGGATTTCTCTCCAAAAGTGAAACTCTTGCAACCTTTAATGTTGATCTGTTTCTCTTCTAGAGTTAGTCTGTAAACCGGGGTACGGCTGGTGTGTGACATTATTAGAGTGCTTTTCTCTTTGACAACATCAGCCAATCGTTCTCTCCTGGGCTTGACTCAGTGCGGGTGTTTGAGTAGCTTGACCCACTGTTGGACAATATGAATACATCTGAACCCAGTTTGACCAAGTCTGTCACTGTGATGATGTCCAGCCAGTTGAACCAAAGGGTGATATTCACAGCAACTGAGAGAGTTGTTATCAAAGAGGTTGAAAAGGTCAGGAACACAGTGACTGTTACAATTAACACTCCTAATATTTTAGGGTTCTTAAACCCTGAAGGGAAGATACGTGTCAGTGAAATGATGTTAAACCGATGCAAACTAAATACTAAAGACACAATAACTGAGATAGTTATTACCAGCATGTTTGACATAAAGAAGAAGATGGAGATCGTCAGGGTTAACACTCCTGATATCTTTGGATCGTCTAATGCCAGAATGACCAACTTTAAAAGGTTCCTTCCAGATAAGGAAACATCCATCAGAGTGATGATTTTCAGCCAATTGGACCAAAGTATGATGTTCACAACAACTGAGAGAGCTGTTATCAGTGAGGTTGACACGGTGAGAAGCACTGCGATTGTCACCATAAACACTCCTAATATTTTGGGATTCTTTAACCATGATGGGAAGAAATCTGTCAGTGTAATGATGTTATAGCGATGCAAGATTGCATACACAGTAAGTGAGAGTGTTATTACCCATAAGTTGGACATGAAAAACACAGTGATTCCTGGTGTTAACACTCCCAACATCTTGGGATCTTCTAATACTGTGAAGACGAACTCGGAAAGGCTGATCTCAGATGTGAATACATTCTTCAGTGAGATGAATTCAAGCCAATTAAACCAAAGAACAACATTCACAGCAGCTAAGACAGTTGTAGTCACTGGGTTTGATAGAGTGAAAAACACTGTGATCATCATTGTCATCGCTTCTGAAATCTTAGGATCATCTAATGCTGCTGGGAGGAAACCTGGCAGTGGAACAACATTCAACCAATGCAGACTAAATACTGCAGACACAACAACCAACAGAATTGTTCTGCGGGAGTTTGACTTGATGAAAAACACAGTGGCTGTCAGTGCTAACACTCCACAACACTTAGGATCATCTAATGCTGTGAAGACTAACTCTATGAAAGTCTTCTCAGATGTGAATACGTCAGTTAGAGTGATGAAGTTCAGCCAATTAAACCAAAGTACAACATTCAGAGTAGCCAAGATAATTGTGGTTAATGAGGTTGACAGAGTGAGAGACACTATCATTGACACAGTTACTACTCCTGATATTTTAGGATCATCTAATGCAGATGGGAGGAAACCTGCCAGTTGAACCATGTTCAACCAATGCATGCTAAATATTGCAGACACAAATACCAGGAGAGTTGTTGTGAGGGAGTTTGACATGATGAAGAACACAGTGACTGTTAGTGTTAAAGCCCCTGATATCTTAGGATCGTTTAATGCTGCGATGACCAACTTTGATAGGTTCCTTTCAGAAGTGAATGCATCACTCAGTGTGATGATGTTCAGCCAGTGGAGTATCACCATTAAAACAACAGCGCTGATCAGAGTTCTGATCAGCAACAGCCACGTCTTGAGAGCCATTGTAGATTCTTCTTTGTTGTCAATCTGCCTGGAGTCAAACAAATGGAAACAGCAGCAAAAATAAAATGTCATCCTATGAAACAGTAACATGTTTTATTATTGCACCATCTAATCAGTTAAGCAGCAGATACTTTAGGGTAGGATGTTATTCGACATGCTAGCCTAAAATATTAGCATGACTAATGCTAACACTGACCTAGTCTATTTAGTATCTAAAGGTAAGCTGTTATATCAAAAAGTACTAAAATGCTATTTTTAGCCACAAGGCTAGTCTTGTCATGTGAGCTATCACTACCATGTTGACTAACATTGGCTTTCTCCATCATGAAGTCTTTATAGCAAAATTAGCTAACATGATGATTAGCATGAAGGCTATTGCTAGCATGTTGACCTCCAGTAACATCTTCCATCCAGTATGCAAGCAGTCCTACATAAGCTACCATTACCTAAATGCTCATTTTAGCTTTGTTGCCATCATTAGCATGTGGACTATCAGCTAACACGCCATTCAGCATGAAAACAATAGTGTATCAGCTAAAATTAGCTATATTGCTAAGGTTAGCTAAAATGTAGTCAACAGTATGTGGCTATCACGCGCATGCTGACTAATGTTGACTCACCTCAACTCACTGTTATATTTAACTTTAAAGTTGCACAAAACAGCTTTTAAAAAATTGTCTATTTCACAAATGTTTTGAAACTTTCACTACGACACCGATAATCTGTTAAAAAAAACCATCAGCCATCAGCAGAAAGAGACTGCTGCTCCATCAGAACAGCCAATCAGAGCCAGGAGGACGGTCATACTGCTGTCAATCATCCTTGTGAACCCCATTTTTTCACAGATGTTACACTGTAATGTTATTGTGACATTTATATTATAAAAGTTACCTACTGCAGATTTTGTATGTTGCTGTTGTCCCATTCCAAGCTGCCCTGAGGCGTTCTGACAGAGGTGAGGCTGCTGTGGACTGGCGCCCCCTGCTGGGCCCTCTGGCCACCACCAGCAGGAAATGTGGGGGCAGTGTCTTGCTCAAAGACACAACGACAGAGGGGGACAGAACAGAGATCGAACTGGCAACCTCAAGTGCAGGACTGACTTCTACAACCATTTCTCCAATAATCTGATTTAATCATTTGATTTCCCAGATTGTGTGTCTTCTGCCAGACACCCGGAACAGACTTGGTCTAATAGGAACAGAACGGGATGTGGATTCAAAAAGAAGAAGAAGAAGAAGAAGAAGAGATGGAGGACAAAGAAGGAAAGGAGAAATAAACTTTCCTCTGTCAATAATGTGAATATTCCCATTAATCCCATACTGAATATTCTCACCTTAGCAGTGAATATGGCCTGAATTTTGTTATGTATCCAGATCTATATGGTGTTGTGACAGAGCAATTAGAGAAGCAGGAACTAGTCTGAGGTTTTGAACAGACATCATGTCTACCAGCAAAACTGGATCTGAGATCATTTATTCAGCAGTGAGACAAAAAAGTGAGCCTGGAATGTGAAACCTCTACAAAACTAATCATTTTGTAGAGCAGATCGTTCATCTCTTTCACTCATGGATCATTTTCAGTTAAACACGAGTCACAACAAACCTGCTTTAGCTGCTTCCAGTCAGCATCTCTCAATAACCTGAAATGCAATAAAAAGAACATTAATTATCAGGTCTGACTAAATTATGTAATAATATTTATAAATGGAAACATGAAAAACACAGAAGTTTCTCTTTCATAATAGATTTAACCATCATATTTAACACAATTATCAGAATAATTAACATTTAGTAACCTGTAGTTAATAATGGTTATTTCTGTGATTCAATGTTAATTGATAAATTTAAAACATCATATTCAGTTTGACTGAATGAGTTTGATCATTTGTAAACTAACATGAAGCAGTAAACACACAGTTTGGCTCTGCAGAACTGCACTGAAAACAAATGTTTGCACTTTAACCCTTTACAGCTCACATATTCAGGTTTAATTGTTTTAGTCAAAAGTTTATTTGACTTGATGCAGAAAAGAATTTAGAAACTTAGAAACAACTTTAATTCAACTTTTGAGACAAAATCTGGAAGAAAAAATTCTGAACTCGTCAGTTTATTACTGTAAAAGTTCAACATGGAGCAAAAGACAAAAACACCCAAATCAGGGCCATAAAAAATGAAGCAGATCTGAGCTGCATGTTGGGACATTTCATCCCCCTGCAGCTGTTTCACATGTTACATGTGAAAACATGAGAAATGATCAAATCACTTCTGAAGATCTGCAGCTTTCAGTCTGTTTCTGCTTTCATCTTGTGTCAGTTTAGTTTAATTTTCTTTTAATTCTGTTATTTATTTGTGGGACCTGATCACTTTATTGATTTATTGATGAAGAACTGATTGATAAAGAGCTTTTATTACCTCAAACAGAAAAGAGAGAATCAAATAGGAGTTTCACATGAACTTATTAGTTATGCTTTTTTGTGCCATATTTTCAAAACATCCATTCTTAATATTAATGAGCATTAAGTTGCAGTAAGTTAAAGCATTAGCCACATTTTAAATCCATTTATTGTCTACATTTCTAGGGGCATAATTGTTTTCTCTAACTTTTCTATTGGACTAATATTTGTTTTATAAACAAACTGATTATGTTTCAATCAATCAAACTGATAGTGTGTTTTATTTTTGCCAAGGATACATGATTATATATTGGCTTAAAAATGTTACTTCAGAAAAGTTAAATAGAAACTAATCTTTTGTATCTCTGTTCTGCTGCTAATAAACTGCATTTATTCACAAAAGACACAAACAATTTATTCACTGCATGTCACAAAAAATCTGCAAAACAAGTTAAACATAAAACTTTAAAAATGTGAAGAAAAAAAGTGAAGATGTGAGAATTTATAAACTTACCAGCATTTTGTCAGAACCGGAGGAAGAGTTCTGCGTTTATTTCCTGCAGCTGCATTATAACCTCACAATTCAGCTCAAAACAGAAGTGAAACCGATAAAACACACACACACACACACACACACACACACACACACACACACGCACACACACACACACACACACACCCACCCACACACACACACTTTCAAAAGCAAAGTAAAAAAGCTTGTGACATTTTTTGTCAGAGAGAAAAAACCTGCATGTGTCGACGAGTTTTAAAGGATTTCTCAGAAATGATGGGCTTTCATTTCCATTTCTTAGAAATGCCAACTCTTTGGCGAACAGTGCAGAGTTAATCAGGTTTTAGTTAATTAACATATAATATCAATCCTAAACCACACAGGATTCAGTGCTTGCATGGTTGTTGGTCCTGAGAATTAATATTATGAACATAATCAACAAATACAGACACAGAAATTCATCCCTTTCCTCGTACTAAGTATTAAAAATAAAAATGTGAATAAATTCATAAAATGGCATCAACCAATCATCATAGAAATGTTTTCCCAGGCTGGTTGTCACTGAACATTAATGATTAAATGACTCTCCTAACTTCAGGCTCTGTGGAAAACCTGAAAATGACGTTTGAGACGAATTCAGTTTCTCTGCATCAACATGAAGTGAAATCAGTTCTGCTCCGATCTGAAAGAGACTCTGATCTTCAGAACCTGAACCTCAGCAGGTACCGAGGCTGGAAGGTTGTCTTAGAAATTATAATCTCACAGGATTATAAACCTCCAGCCAACAATCAAACACCCACACCCATGAAATACGTTTATTTCAATGCTTCTGCTGCTTTTCTCTCTGTGTTCTGATATCCTGCTGATTCTGTCATTTCTGTGAATGAGTCTGTGGTTTTCAACCCTCCTAACGAGAGAATCTGATGTGGACAGGATGCTGCGGCGTCCTGTCAGTGGGCGGAGCCTCAACAAGCCACTTCCACACTGACAGACGTTTCTTTATTAGATTATTGAAGGAAAGTCACAACATTTGGCCAAATTTCACCAGTTCTGTTTGGAGGAATGAGAAAAAAATATTATTTTAATGTTTTTAACCAAAGCTTACAGTTTAAAATGGGCAATACTAACAAAATGTATCACGAAAGTCATGAAAAAAACTTTTCTCTTTTTTTGGTACAAGAATATAATTGTGTTGATCCCAACCAACATAAGGGAAGTTTAGTCACAGTGGAAAAATAAATTGTTTCTTTTTATGCAGCTTGAATGAATTTAGATGTTTTTCTGCAGAATATGTGTAATGAAGCAGGAAAAGCAGGACAGGGTGACTTACGCTGACATTTGCTGATATTAAGACAAAAGCCAGAATAAAATCTGCTCTTGCTGTCCGGACTCTTTTGAAAGAAGCCAAACTTTTTGGAAAATCCCCCGTGTCAATCTGAAACTGAAAGCAGCTTCTCACTTCTTCATTTGCTGCCCAGTTCAGATGCAGACTGGAGCCTTTCCAACACGCCCAGGGTCAGATCGGGTCAAAGGTCAGAGGGCAGCAGAGCCTCCACAACTAAAACCAGAAGTTTACATACGCCACAGGAAAGACACAAACCTTTTCTCCTCAGACCAAGAGTCACTTGTTTTAGGTCACATAAAATTACCAAATTATTATTGCTAAATTACACAGAAATATAAATAATCTGACTGAGATTTTGTTGTTGCTAATTATTTAACTGTGTTGCAATATTTTAATGTGAGAAGGTCAGTAAGTCCTTCTTTGTCAAAGACAAATATAAAGATGAACAAAATGGTCGACACAACAAATACAAAAAACAAAAATAAACTATGAAACTAAACAGGAATGAACCTATATGGCAACACCTTAACAGCAATAATCAACACCCAAAGTGACAGCGTCTGTTTTACTCAATGAATCCATAATTTAAGCAAAACTACTTTTGATTTGGGAAACAGCCACCGATAGGACTGTAGAGCAGAGCAAAAACAATGTGATGTCTGAAATAAAAAACATTTTATTACTGCATTAAACCTTTTGTTGACACCCCAACACAGTAAGTTGAAATATTAATATCTGCATGGAAGTAAAATTAAACATAAAAACACTACAAATTAAATTTCAGAAACTGAAAAAAAGAAGCATGAAAATAAGAAATAAAATACATTCAAACGTTTAATAAAGTTACTACAGTTTGGGTGACTGGAAGTTTGTCCTCTTGTAACAAGCAAGCCAATGTTTCGTCTTTATGTTTCCTCCACATGTTTCCACTGAGCTGCTGCGCTCAGCATCCAGTTTCTCAAGAGCTAACCTTTAGCGAAACAGTAAATGATATCGCTGGATCTTTTAACGCTGGCATTACTACATCTGAAACTTGCTTTCCTACGTGGACTAAGTCTGTCAGTGATGATTTTCTGCCAGAGTAATAAAAGCAACAAAACCAACACGACTCCAGCAATGAGGAGGCGAAGGGTGAACAACAGGCCCATCATGATCGTCACGATTGGTGTCGATCTGCCTGCAATCAGAAGACAGAGAAAATACTGGATTTAATATCTAATTAACACGAGCTATTAAAGCAGGAAAATCAAAATTATTCCTCACAGAAAATGAAACTTCCAACATAATTATGGGGTTTCTTGGAAAACATCTGTTAAAAAGATCACAACTAACTTTTATCGTAAATCTCTTATATTTCCTAATGTGGCATTTTGTTGTCAGAATAATGTGATCAGATTAAATCATTTGTTTTAATAGTTTCTGTTAATGAAAATGAAACTCTGATGAAAGGCGGATGTCTTTGAAAGATTCACACGTTTGGGTGAAAATCATGTATATTTCTGACAGGCAGGTTTACACACATTTTTCAGAATCATGTCTGAAATTAATGGGAGTTTTTTATTTTTTTAATTCAGAAGATCTCAAAGTGTTTAGATTTCCAGTCTGACAAATTCCTGAAATAAACACAGAACATATTTACATTTTCTTGTTCTGATGAAAAACAATAAAATATTTATGAATATCAGTAAAATTGTGTGAATGAAAAACTGTTTATTGATGTAGTTCTGCTGCAGAGAGAAAACCCTTTCAAGGAGCTAAAAGGTTTTTCTGAACGTTACAAACTTATAAATATTAGAGGTTCAGAACCTCAAGCATCAACTGCATGTCGATAAAAAGACTCCAGATGTTTGATGTCAACACAAACTTTATATGACTGGACGTATTTATGTAAATGTTTGCAAGCAAAATAAATACAACTGATAACTAAAACATTGAATGCCAACAATAGTGAGAATAGCAAAGTCAGTTTCCATCAGAAGAGACAGAAACGATCATTCAAAGAAGAATGGAGTAAATATTTCCTCAAATGTCTCCAACTCAATAAAAATGTAAAAATGGTCATGCATGTTTTCAAAACCCATGAAAATTTGATTGTGGGAGGAAATCAAAGCAGTTGGGTTGGACTAAATCACATTTCTGTCAAAGATTAAAATAAATGATGCAAACCTTTGCCGACTGTTCTGTCCTCTGTAGCTCAGGGTCTGCAGGTGTTGAGTTTTGCTAATCTGAGTTAATTCACAGAAACATGGAGAATTAGTGACATAGTGAGATTTGTTTAAGGAAACTAGATTAGCTAAGACTGTTGAACCTAAAGCACTGATGTGTCCCTGGACAAACATTTAGAAATGGTTTCCTCCTCAGTATGAACTCAGGTTCTGGGGCCCAATCATTGGTTCTGCTGGCAGAAACACATCAGAGCAGTTCACTAAATGAATTCAGCATCGTTCAGACTTACCTCCAGCTGTTCTTTAGAGGTGATGAGAGTGAGATCTGTGATCTTTCAGTGTTGCTCCTGCTTGTATACAAATACTTCTGAAACACACCTAGTTTTACTCAGAGTGAAACAAAAACCATCACATCCATTCTGGCTCACATTCAACTTGAAACATCTGAAGCCTTTACTTTCCCCAAGCAAGTCACATTTTTCTGTACTTCCTTGTATGGAGATTATCAGAAAGCAAATCTGCTCCACCTTCAAATGATTAAAAACTCTTCATCTTTGACTTTTCCTTGTGTCACTTGCTGTAGCAGGAAGAAAATATCTTTGCTTTGCAATAGGAAGTTTTCTGAACAACAGGAAGTAAAAATAAAATAGTATGAAAGAGAAAATCTTCACGTTTTTTATCAGTGACCAGTAGAGTCTTCAGCAGAGTCCAATGGAAATTTACACTGACGTCAAAAATAAAATACTGTAAAATCACACTGAAAGACAAAATACCGAAAAGGCATTGAAGGAACTTGCTGTTTAGCCAACAACACCAAAATGATGCCATTGAAAACTTCTCATCAGAAAGTTTCATCAGCTCTTACATCTCACTGCTTTGCTTTTCAAGGCCAGTTTGATTTTACAGGTTTTACCATTCAAAGCCAAATCTCTTTCCAATGTCACTGCAAGCTGTCATAGTTTCAGCTCCACAAATTGCCACAGGGTTAGACGTTGGTATGAAGATCCATAAAACACGAAAACCAGAGAATCATCAGCAGATCTGTGAGAGTCAAGATCTGGTCCATTATTCCACTGGGAGGACAAAAACGGCCATATATTTAAATGATCCCATTTCAAATGTTCAACCAGGAAACTTCTGTTGAGGTAAAATGATTCATGCCAGATTTGTGGCATGTGGCTCAGTGAGTTTGGGGAAAAAGCTTTCATGTTCCTGGAGTCGTTTCAGTTTCTACTGATATATGATATTTTTCTCTCCACTAATTCCTAAATGTATCTTTATTACCGTCTACCATTCCTGTTGCATATCTTCAATCAACATTTAGAGACAAACAGGTCACACATCTTTGGAAGCATTAATTTAAATATATTCACCAAATTTAAAAATATTACCACCTGATGTCCTTTGGAACACAACAAGTTTGGAGCATTTACTAGGCAGACATTAACGACCACAAACAACTCTGAGAAAAACTATACTTTAAAATCATTTGGCTGAAATACACGCCAAGATAAAAGACATTGTACATTTCAGTGTAAAATGTCACTGAAATGTCAAAACCATTATTTCTAATTCAGAAATAAAGGAACAGAATTGATCAGGACGGATGAATTGGAATTGATGGGAGAATCAGGAAGGAACATGTTTCTAGGAATCAGCCAGATTTCCTGGCCATGACGAAGACTCCTTAGAGCAGGGGAGATGATCTCCACAAAATGAATTGATATTGTGATTATGGATCTATCAGTGTATTGTTTTAGAGCTGGAAGATGATCAATCCTGAATATTCCCTCCTTAAATCTCTGGAAACTCTGGCCTTACAGACCAACAAAACCAGTTTGCTACAAACTGGGAGAATAATCCTCCGGCCATTTTTCTCTCCGTCTGTGAGCGAGTCTCAGCCGTCATCTCCAGGTCTGTCCAAGAATAAAGGACAAACTGACAACTAATCTCTTGGCAGTAAGCAACATATTTCTGTCCAACGGGTTTTTGCTCTTCTTTGTAAGCTAATTATATTTTCTCGACGAAACCAATAAGTCTGATCTTACAGGAGTCATAATACTATTACTTCACTCTAAAATCTGCATGGCAAGGATTTTATTTTCCTTTTTCTACTTTGAATTATTACAACATCCTGTGATGTTTTTATATCTGTCAATGTGGTCAAAGTCAAGGCACAGACTCAAATGATACGTTTTATAAGTTTTTTAATGAGAAAAGTTCAGCAATAAAAACAGGACATGAAACATGGAGTTACAGCAAAACCCTGGGAAGAATCCAACAAGAAACAAATCTGATGTTTTAAAGCATATATAACATTTTTAAAGATTTTTCCCCCAAACTCAGTACCAAGAAACATCAGGAACCACAAATACAGAAAAGATGTAAATCTGAGCGAAATAAAGCATTTTAATTCACAACAATGACAAACCATAAAACGAATTACAACTGAAAGAAAAGCAAAATATAACAGATATGGTGCATTTTGAATCTATTGTCCTATGAAGTCAAACCAAAACTACATGATTCTCCAGGTGAACAAAACATTTGAGGTGGGAAACAAAAACCTGGTTGAGTTTGGGAAAACGCCCAATTCAACCTTAAAACAAAATCATGCTGACATTTGGATTGACTGGATTTAAAATTATCTAGAGAGGAAACTCTAGGAAATTTGCTTAAATTTGTTCATGAACTGATGAAAACCATTGAGCTAAAAATAACAGTTTCACTTTGAAAAGACCTAAGAATAAATCTGGTGAACGAGAGGTCAGTCAAATAAACTAAGAGCTTGTACTAATTGAATCAGCGCCTCTTGACTACAATTTTTTAAGTGAGAATAGAAAACATAAAAAAGGAGGAGGCGTGGCTTCGAGATTTAAGAAAACCATAAATTGTAGTAAAATCTCTTTGGGTCATTTCACATCTTTTGAGTATCTTGGAATTCAGGTTAAAGGCTTCAAACGAACTTTGACACTAACTTTATACAAAACTCCAGCATATGTGGAAAATTGCTTTACTGACTTGAATGATCTATCTCTCATATGCATTGATTATGATTGTTTAATAATTGTTGGTGATTTCAACATTCATGTGGACAAACCCCAAGACAGAGGGGCAAAAAAGCTTTTAATATTTTAGAAAATTTTGGTTTACACAACATATTAAACAAGCAACACACACTCAAGGACACACACTGGACCTGGTTATCAGTAAGGGTGTGAATATTTCCAATGTCTCTGTAAACTGATGTCGCCCTGTCGGATCACTTTGCTGTTATCTTTGAAGGTTCTTTATTCTTTGACCCACTTGGACAAACAGCTACTGTCACAAAACGTTCTTTCACAGAAAAACAGCAGAAACATTTAATCAAATCTACTCTTCCTCCTCACCCTTAAGCTGTAATGATGTAGATCAGTTGGTAGATGATTTTCAGGCTAAAGTTTCATATATCATTGATTCTATTGGCCCAATTAAACGAAAGGTTTTGACTGGTAGAAAGAAATCTCCATGGAGAAAAGCACAAACAGTTGTGAGTACATAACTGTTTGTCACAGAGCAGAACCAAAATGGAGTAAAACTCAAACTTCACGTTCATAATGACATCTATAAAGAAAGACTATGTAACTATCACTCAACACTAAAACATGCAAGGGAGGCTTTCTTTGCAGATGTCATAAACAAAAACATGAACAATGCTGGAGCTTTATTTGCAACAGTTGACAGGCTCACAAACCCTCCTATGACTTTACCACCTGAATCCAATCTAATGCTGATGGAACAAGTTTTCCAGCTACTTTTCAGAGAAAATTAAAAAAATCAGAGGATTAATCTGCACATCAACTCTAAAGCCAGAACCATTGCTGAACCCAAACAGAACAAATACAGGAAAAATGACCCATTTTCAACTACTTCATTCTAAAACCCTAGAAGAAATTATAAGTCAGTTAAGTTCAAGCTCCTGCTGTCTGGATGTTCTAGATCTATAACTCTAGAACATTTCTTTAAGAAAGTCCTGCCTGTTATTGCTACTGATCTGATCCTAATAGTAACTCATCGCTTACATCAGGCGTTTTTCCCCAGGCTTTGAAAACAGCAGTTATTAAACCACTGTTAAAAAAGAACAATCTGGACAAATCACTATTGCAGAATTACAGGCCGACCTCTGACCTCTGACCTCTGACCTCCCATTCATCAGCAAAGTTATTGAAAAAACTGTGTAAACAATGAAATAGTTTCCTCATGATGACCAACTGCTTTGACTCTTTCCAGTCTGGTTTTCGTGCTCACCACAGCACGGAGACTGGCCTAGTCAAAGTATTCAATGACATCCATATAAATACGGACTGTGGGAGAACCACAGTGCTGGTTCTGGTTCTGTTGGACCTCAGTGCAGCTTTTGACATATTACTGAATCGACTGGAGAGTTGGGTCGGACTCTCTGGTTCGGTGCTCGACTGGTTTGAATCCTACATAAAGAACAGGGATTTCTTTGTTTCAATTGGAAACTTCTCATCAAAGAGGTCAAAGGTCACATGTGGGGTACCCCAAGGTTCAATCCTAGGACCCCTCTTATTCAAATATTTATTCTCCCACTAGCTCAGGTCATAACAGGAAATAATATTAGCTACCACAACTATGCGGATGACACACAGCTCTACATTACGATGTCACCAGGTGACCTTTGACCATCCAATCACTGAATAAATGTTTAGAGCAGATAAATGTGTGGATGTGCCAAAACTTTCTCCAGCTGAACAAAAACAAAACTGAAGTCATTATTTTAGGACCTAAAGAGGAACGATCTAGAGGTATAGATCTATAGATCTAGAGCTATAGTTCTAGAGCTATAGATCTAGAGCTATAGATCTAGAGTTATAGATCTAGAGTCAATGCACAGCTTCAGTTATTACAACTAAAAACTAGCGATCAGGCCCGAAACCTGGGAGTAGTGATGGACTCTGACCTGAACCTTGCGAGCCACATAAAGACAGTTACAAAGTCGGCCTTCTATCACCTGAAGAACATCTCCAGGATTAGAGGACTAATGTCTCAGCCAGATCTAGAGAAACTCATTCATGCGTTTATCTTTAGTCGCATTGATTATTGCAAACAGCGTCTTCACAGGCCTGTCCAACAAATCAATCCTCCAGCTGCAGCTGATCCAGAAGCTGCTGCTCCTGTTCTCACTAGAACCAGGAAGATAGAGACATAACAGCAGTTTTAAAGTCCCTCCACTGGCTCCCTGTAGCTCAAAGAATAGACTTTAAAATACTGTTGTTAGTTTATAAATCACTGAACGGTTTAGCACCACAATACATCAAAGATCTGCTGTTGTTGTATCAACCTTCC